TGAGATAGTAAGCAATTTGATATAGGTTATACATGTGAAATCATGTAAAATATTTACATGGAGCTTTCCTTTTTTAAAATTTTTTTTATTAATTTATTTTGATTTCTCAACAATCACTTCCATAAACTTTTGGGTTTTAAGTTTTTGTCTCCCTCCCTGCCCACCTCCCTCCCCAAGATGGCATCCAATCTGATATAGATTTTACATATACATTCCTATTAAACATATTTTCACATTAGTGATGTTGCAAGGAAGAATCAGAACCAACAGGAAGAGCCATAAGAAAGAGAAAACAAAACAAAACAGAAGAAAAAAATAGCAAATAGTGTGCTGCGATGTGCATTCAAACTCCATAGTCTTTTCTTTGGATATGGATAGCATTTTCCATCATGAGACCTTTGGAGATGTCTTAGATCCTTGCATTGCTGAGAAGAACTAAGTCTATCAACATTAGTCATCACACAAGGTGGCTGTTACTGTGTATCATGTTCTCCTGGTTCTGCTCACTTCACTCAGACCATACAAGTCTTTCTAGGATATTCTAAAGTCAGCCTGCTCATTATTTCTTACAGCACAACAGTATTCCATTACATTCACATACTACAACTTGCTCAGCCATTCCCTAATTGATGGGCATTCTCTCAATTTCTAATTCTTTGCCACCACAAATAGAGCTGCTATGAATATTTTTGTACATGTGGGTCCTTTTCCCATTTGTATGATCTCTTTGAGATACAGCCCTAGAAGTGCTATTGCTGGGTCAAAAGGTATGCACAATTTTATAGTCCTTTAGGCATAGTTCCAAATTGCTCTCCAGAATGGTTGGATCAGTTCACAACTCCACCAACAATGCATTAGTGTTCCAATTTTCCCACATCTTCTCCAACATTTATCATTTTCCTGTTTTGTCATGTTGGCCAATCTGATAGATGTGATGTGGTACCTCAGAGTTGTTTTGATTTGCATTTCTCTAATCAATAGTGATTTAGAGCATTTTTTCATATGATTATAGATGGCTTTAATTTCTCCATCTGAGAACTGCCTGTTCACATCCTTTGACCATTTAGCAATTGGGGAATGACTTGTATTCTCATAAATTTGACTTAATTCTCTATATATTTTAGAAATGAGGCCCTTATCAGAGAGACTGGTTGTAAAAATTCTTTCTCAATTTTCTACTTTCCTTCTAATCTTAGTTGCACTGGCTTTGTTTGTGCAGAAACTTTTCATTTTAATGTAATCAAAATTATCCATTTTGCATTTCGTAATGTTCTCTATCTCTTGTTTGGTCATGAATTCTTCTGTTTTCCATAAACCTGATAGGTAAATTATTCCTTGCTTTCCCAATTTGCTTATAGTATCAGCCTATATATCTAAATTGTGTACCCATTTTGACTTTATTTTGGTGTATGGTGTGAGATTTTGGTCAATGCCTAGTTTCTGCCATACTCTTTTACAGTTTTCCCAGCACTTTCTGTCAAATGGTGAGTTCTTATCCCAGAAGCTGGAGTCTTTGGGTTTATCAAAGAGTAGATTGCTATAGTCATTGACTACTGTGTCTTGCATACCTAAGCTATTCCACTTATCCACCACTGTATTTCTTAGCCAGTACCAAGTAGTTTGGTTGATTACTGCTTTATAATACAATTTAAGATATGGAATGACTAGGCCACCTTCCCCTGCATTTCTTTTCATTACTTCCCTTGATATTCTGGACCTCTTGTTATTCCAAATAAATTTTGTTATTATTTTTTTCTAGCTCTATAAAATAATTCCTTGGTAGTTTGGTTGGTATGGCCTTGAATAAGCAAGTTAATTTATATAGTATTGTCATTTTTATCATTGCCTTGACCTACCCATGAGCAATTAATATTTCTCTAATTGTTAAGATCTATCTTTATTTGCATGAAAAGTTAGAACTCAATGAATTTCTAAATGAATTCTACCAAATATATAAAGAATGATTAATTCCAATACTATATAAGCTATTTGAAAAAAATAAAGGAGTTGTACCAAATTCCTTCTGTGATACAAATGTAGTTTTGATACCAAAAATAAGGAGAGCAAAAACAGAGAAAGAAAACTATAAACTAGTTCCCCTGATGAATATTAATGCAAAAAAATTAAATAAAGTACTAGCAAGGAGCCTACAGCAATAAATCACAAAGATCACACACTATGACCAAATGGGATTTATATCAGTAATGAAGGACTGGTTCAGTATTAGGAAAACTATAAGCATAATTGACTATATCAACAAAAATTATATTATTGTAGCAATAGATATAATAGATATAAAGCCAAGGAATAAATGAGCTTTTCTTTTTATGCTTATTTCATTTTTTAATAATAACATTTCATTTTTCTCCTATTACATATAAAAGCAATTGTAACATTCATGTTTTTAAGTCTTGAGCTCCAAATTCTATCCAGGAAGCCCTGCTCCCTCCTTGAGACAGTAAGCAATTTGATATAGGTTACACATGTGAAAGCATGTAAAATATCTACATGGAGCTTTTCTTAAAATGATAAGTAGTATCTATCTAAAACTAAGAACAAGCATTATTTGTAATGAGGATAAAATAGAAGCCTTAGATCAAGGGTGAAATAAGGAAGTCCATTATTGCCACTAGCATTCAATATTGTACTAGAAATGCTAGCTATAGCAGTAAAAATTGAAGAAATAAGAATAGGCAATGAGGAAACAAAACTTTCACTCTTTGCAGATGATATGCTGGTATATTTAGAGAACCCTAAAGAATCAACTAAAAAAACTAGTTGAAACAACTTTGGCAAAGTTACAGGATATAAAATAAACCCACATAAATCGTTAGCATTTCCATATATTACTAACAAAACCCAGCAGGAAGAGACAGAAACAGAAATTCCTTTGAAAATAATTGTAGAGATTATAATATATTTTGGAGTCTACATGCTAAGACAAACCCAGGAACTATATGAATATAATTACAAATTACATCAGGAAAACAAGGAAACATCAGATCAATAAAGTGAACATGCAACTAAAATTTTTTGAAAAAAAAACACAAAAATATCTAAATAAACACCAGAATAGAATTCATATAGTTTTGGGAAGTACAAGAGAACAGAGGACAGGAAACATAATACAGAATGATTAGTTAAGGGGACACTTAGGTGGCCCAGTGGATAGAGCACCGACCCTGGTTTCAGGAGGACCTGAGTTCAAATCTGACCTCAGACACATAACACTCACTAGCTGTGTGACCTTAGACAAATCACTTAACCCCACTGCCTTGACAGAAAAACAAACAAACAAACAAACAAAAAGAATGATTAGTTAAAAAGTCTGGGCTTAGATTCTTAAAATCTAGCCACTTCTCAGATTCTTATAATCTATCCGCGGGTTTAGATTCTTACAATCTAGCCAAGAGCCTACTAATGGGGCAGCTAGGTGGTGCAGTGGATAGAGCACTGGCCCTGATGTCAGGAGGACCTGAGTTCAAATCTGGCCTCAGACCAGCTGCTTGACGCTTACTAGCTGTGTGACCCTGGGCAAGTCACTTAACTCCAATTGCCTCTCCAAAACAAAACAAAAAAAGTCTGATATATCATAGATGATGGAAAACAATATGATTAGATGACAGTCATGGATGAAGGACCAGTCAACACCCGTCTCTTTTTTAGACATCTGTAGATTGCAATTAGAGACAAAGCCAGAATAGCAATTGGCATGATCATTAGCCACCATGTATTGCTTTGATTTGTTGTTGGAGTACCTGTAATGAAAGAAAAGCAAAAATGACTTGTGAGCCTTGGACTAGGAATTCAAAGATCTATATTTGCATCCCTACTAGGCCAAAAAGTTGCTATATTATTTTGGGCAAATCATTTCATTTCTCTGGGTCTTAGCTTCCTCATTTGTAAAATAAAGGTGATGATAATAAGGTCCTTTTCCAGCTCAAATACCCTATGGCTCCATGAGCCAAGAAGGTTAAGGACTTGGTGGAGAAGCTTGTCCACCCAAAGTGTCCTCTTCTCCTTCAATGCTTTACTAGCCCCTTGACCTGCTATTCACAAAAGGATGTACAGTAATTGCAGAACAAGTTTACTTCTTGTCCCGAAGTCCTTCACTGTGCCTCAAAATATGATTGGGCTGCTTTGATAAGAAAGTAAACTGCATTTTTTAAAAATTCAAAGAATAGAGTTAGAAATCATTTAGAGAAGCTACTTGGAAGACCAGAGAACTAGCAGAAATGGATATGAAGAAATCTCAATGTGAGTGTTTATTTTTTAGGCCTTTGGAAAGGGCAGGTTTAAGGAGAAGTAAATGATACTAGTTGGTAGTATCCTGGATATGCCAAGATAAGACCCAATACCATCCATCCTGTTGGACAGTGAGTGGTATGTTTTGTGTGTATCTATAGTAACTCAGCTCATAGGGGTAGAGGTGGTAACAACCAATGTAAATTCTTCCTGAGGTGCACCATATCTCACTAGTGTCTAGGGTGGGAGAACCAAATTCTTTACAGTATCATAGTTGGACTCCATATCTCTGATACCATTGCCTTAGAATAATATTCCTAGACTTAGGTAATATTTTATTGACTGGTCAACCAAGGAGAACCTGAGGGAGTTCTCATTTTGGAGAGAGGTTGGTGTGGCAAAAATCCTACATTTAGAGTTAGATGACCTGGGTTCAAATTCTGGCCCTTACACTAATGAGCTGTATTCCCTTCCTCACTCTCAGTTTCATCGTCTTGCAAATGGCAGTGTGGATAATAATATTCACTCAGCCTGCCTCAGAAGGTTATTATGCAAAAAGCAAACCGTAAACCTTAAAGTGCTTTAAAAAATGAATTATTTTCTCAAAGTGACAAAGTTCAGCATCCTGCACAGTATTTCTGAGCTTCTTGCTGGGTCCTGTCCCAAATGCCACTGGGATTGCAATTGTTAGCCTAAACAGCAAGAAAAACTCAAAAAGTTGTTAGCTGCCTCTGACACATTCTTCCAGACTTTACCTGAGGACTTTTCCACGATGGCACTGGTATAGCAAGTTTGTGCACAAAGTTCTTGGGAGCCCTTCTCATCCATGACTTTACAGCATGGTGGATTACTATAGAAACTGTCATTCCAGAGTTGAGAGCTGCTGAGATTGAATAGGCCTGTGGCATCCTGAGTGGATGTGAACTCCGTCTGCCTTCTTGGCAGGTCATTGGACCAGATGATTCTTCTCCCTGCCTTTACATTGGTTGCTCTGCAGATCAGACAGCCATTTTCCTTGGAGATTGTAGGGGGTTCTGGAAGAAGCAAAATCATATGAAGACAAATAAATGCCAGGAGGAGGAGTCACCCTCAGAAGGAACAGGAAATGTTGGACAAAGGATTCAGACACCAATGCATTGGAGAACTCTACTCCCACTCTAGCCCGTGATCTCAATAAAAACATCACCACCAATGATGATGATATAATGCTTTAAGGGTGGCAAAATGCTTTATGTACATTATTTCATTTGAGCTTCACAACAATCCTGCCTATATTGTGGTATATGAATGTAGTGGAATACTATTGTGCTATAAGAAATGATGAACAGGTTGGGACTTCAGAAAAACTTGGAAGACTTATATGGTCTGATGCTGAGTGAAATGAGCAGAACCAAGAGAACACTGTACACGATAACAGCCACTTCCTGCGATGTCTTTGTTATGCCCATTTTATGGATGAGAAAACAAAGCCTTAGAGGTTAAAATGACTTGCCCAGGTCCAATGATCTATCTACTGTGTCACCTATCTGCCTTCAAGAAGTACACAAAGTCCTATACTAGGTTGTGGTATTAAAAAAAAAAGCAGCTTGATCTGGTGGGAAAGGCAATCATTGTATGATTTCTGAATTCACTAACTTCTCTTCCCCTCCCCCTAACATTTACAGAATGCTTGCTGTATGCCAGGCACACACAGAGGCAGCAAGGTAGCACAGTGGATAGAGCACTGGCCCTGGAGTCAGGAGATTTGAGTTCAAATCCAACCTCATGTGACCCTGGGCAACTCACTTAACCTGTTTGCTTTTATCCACTGGAGAAGGAAATGGCAAACCACTCCAGTGTCTTTGTCAAGAAAATCCCATGGAAAATTGGAACACTAATGCATTGCTGGTGGAGTTATGAACTGATCCAACCATTCTGGGGAGCAATTTGGAACTATGCCCAAAGGGCTATGAAAATGTGCATACCCTTTGACCCTATATCCCAAAGAGATCATACAAATGGGAAAAGGACCCACATGTACAAAAATATTCGTAGCAGCTCTTTTTGTGGTGGCAAAGAATTGGAAATTGAGGGGATGCCCATCAATTGAGAATGGCTGAGCAAGTTGTAGTATATGAATGTAATGGAACACTATTGTGTTATAAGAAATGATGAACAGGCTGACTTCAGAAAAACTTGGAAAGACTTGTATGGTCTGATGCTGAGTGAAATGAGCAGAACCAAGACAACGTTGTACACAATAACAGCCACGTTGTGCGATGACTAATATTAAGAGACTTAACCCTTCCCAGCAATACAAGGATCTAAGACATCTCCAGAGGCCCTGTGATGGAAAATGCTATCCACATCCAAAGAAAGAACTATGGAAGTTGAATGCAGATCGAAGCATACTATTTGCTTTTTTTTTCTCTTCCATTGAGTTTTGTTTCCTCTTTCTGATGGTTCCTCCTATTGGTTCTAATTTTTACTTACAACATCACTAATCTGAAAATATGTTTATTAAGAATGTATATATATAGCCTATATCAAATTGTGTGCCATCTTGGGGAGGGTGGTGCAGAGGAAGGGGGAAAAATTTTAAACTGAAAAGCATGTGGAAGTGATTGTTGATAAATCAAAATAAATTAATTTTAAAAAATTTTAAAAAAAAGAAAATCCCATGGACAGTTTTGGCAGTCTATAGTCTGTGGGGTCACAAAGAGATAGACACTACTGAAGAACAACAGTGTGCCAAGCACTGTGCTAGGCTCTTTACAACTATTACTTCATTTGGTCACACAATTTATCTAATAATTTATAACTAACTCATCGTGTGACTTTGCCTTCCTGAGCCTTGCTTTCTTCATCTGTAAAATGAGGAGGTTAGATTAGATCTCCAAGGTCCCTTCTAGCTTTGAAATTCTGTGAACCTATGAATGAGAAGATGTGATCCTTACTCTTAAGGGAACTTCCAATTTCATTGTAGAGACCGAACTACCACACAAAATGGCATGGAAACATTTAAAAAATACTATGTCCATGGAATGGCCCCTCAAGGGGGAATAGGAGTTAGTCAATGAAGGCTTCCAGATCAGCATAGCAGAGAAGAAAGAGCGCTTATTTGGGGTCAGAGGACCTCCTATGTAACTATTGCACAAGTCACTTTGACTCTCTGGTATCTCCTGTCTGATGAGTTTCTGTAACTTAGGTTGTTCCCAAGAGAATTTGTTTGGCTAGTCTTCTTGAGAAGATAGAGGTTCTTGGGGGAATGTCCTCTGGCTTAGAAAAAATGAGCTGATATAGGCGCAGCTAGGTGGCACAGGTGACAGAGCACCACCACTGGAGTCAGGAAGACCTGAGTTCCAATCCAGCCTCAGACACTTACTAGCTTTGTGACCTTGGGTAAGTCACTTAACCCCGATTGCCTCAACAACAAAACGAGCTGACAGGACTGTTCTACCCCTTCTCCCGTTTGCTCTTATACCTTTCTTCCAAAGTCGGGGGGGGATGGAGTGAAGGGACCTCTCTTCTCTTTCCCACCCAGTAGGCAATAGTAGCTGCCTTTTGGCAGAACCACTGAGCAAGTACTAATTCTCCTCTGATGGCAGCAACATCTGGGTGATAGCAGAATATGAACATGTCCTCTAGAAGCACGTGGCAGAGGGAGACGTGTGCTTGCCCGTATGACTCAAGAAGGGAATTAATGTCGGTGAACCCCAACCTCCTGCGCAGAAGATGAGGCATCGTGATTTCCTAGTCTGTGATCACAGAATCAGTTTTTCTAACAGAGAAGAGATATTTCTTGGGTAGTGCCAGCTTTGGGTGTTGCCTTAAGAGTAACCCCAATTTCAGAGTTTTAGAATTGTATCTTCTAGAGGGAAAAGAGGTGTTCTTGAGTAGGATGCCTCTTGGATAAGGAAAAGGATCACCCACATGGCCCCTCACAGCTGGAGGAGCGGCAAGAAGGAGATTAAAGCCATGCATGGCAGGGCGAGTGGTCAGGACCTTATTCCCTTCCCCCTAGTTTCCCACCCTTTACAATGAATTATTTGGACTGCCTATGATGGGAAGGGAATTGCCTGACTAGATACTTCAAAGTATGTTTACCTTCAAGGGGGCTTAAATAGTAAGGGGTGCTATGAGTCCAAAAGGGAGTTTGTGGGACCCTGTGGGAGAACTAGGGGTCTACTATAATGTTGGTGTGTGGTCTTGATGGCAAACCTATGTTCACTTCCCTTCTAAGGAGAGCTTACGGACTATCATAACACTTTAAGTGTTTCTTGTATTTGTTTATGAAACCTCGTGAATCCTTTATATCTTTTGCATTTTCTGTGGGGTAAAATAATGGCTGTACCCAATATATATCCATTATCTTGAGTGCTTATGTGGGAACTAGAGGCCCAGGTAGTCACATTTATGCAAACTTAGGCATGAATATATTTAGATATTTCCCACTGTAAACTCTGGGTAAGAATACATGAGTCAAAGAGAAAATGGCCTTTTGGGGAGATTCAGTTTGTTCAGTCATTTTTCAGTCCTGTCTGATTCTTCATGACCTCATTTTGGAGTTTTCTTGGTAAAGATATTGGAAAGTAGTTTGCTATTTCCTTCGCCAGCTCATTTTACAGATGAGGAAACTGAGGAAAATTGGGTTAAGTGACTAGCCCAGGGCCATACAGATAGTAAATGTCTGAGGTAGGATTTGAAAAGATGTCTTCTTGATTCCAAGCTTAGTGTTCTATCCACTACACCACCCAGCTGCAGAATAGATACAGAATCACAGACTGACAGCCTGAATCATCTAATTAAAGGGGCTCAGCTTTTAGAACACTAGTGTCAAAAGCTCCTCCATCCAAATCCTACCACTGTCCAAACTCTTTCAATCTCAAAGGCTTCACCAGTCACCTGTGAAGACTCTCTGACCACAAACATGCCAATGGATTTCTTAGCGGCACTATCCCATTAAAGAAACAGTTAGGTAGCATAATAAATAGAGAGCTGGACCTGATATCTAAAAAATCTGAGTTCCAATCCAGCTCCAAGGGAAAAGGACCCACATATGCAAAAATATTTACAGCAGGTCTTTTTGTGGTGACCAAGAATTGGAAATTGAGGGGATGCCCATCCATTGGGGAATGGCTGAACAAGTTGCGGCATATGAATGTAATGGAATACTATTGTGCTATAAGAAATGATGAGCAGGCTGACTTCAGAAAAACCTGAAAAGACTGACGTGAACTGATGCTGAACGAAATGAGTAGAAGCAGGAGGACATTGTACTCAGTAACAGCAACACTGTACAATGACTAATTTTGATAGATTTAGCTCTTCTCAGCAATGCAAGGATCTGACATCTCCAAAAGTCTCATGATGGAAAATGCTGTCCACATCCAGAGAAAGAACTATGGAGTTTGAATGCAGATCGAAGCACACTATTTGCACGCTCTCTTTTTTTGTTACTTCTTTCTCGTGATTCCTCCCATTGGTTCTTCTTTACAACATGACTAATGTGAAAATATGTTTAATATGAATGTATATGTGTAGCCTATATCAGATTGCATGTCATCTTGTGGAGGAGGGAAGTGAGGGAGGAGAAGAAAATTTAGATTTCAAAATCTTATGGAAGTAAATGTTGAAAACTGAAAATAAATAAGTAAATTTTTTAAAAATCCAGCTTCAGATACTTATTAACTATATAACCCTGGGCAAGTCATCCAACCTCTTTTTGCCTCAAATTTCTCATCTGTTAAATGGGGATAATAATAGCACCTCTCTCCCAGAGTTGTGAGAATGAAATGAGATATTTATAAAGTACTTTTGCAAACCTGAAAGTACTATGTAAATTGCTAGCTAGCTTTTGTTATAGGAAATCTAGTCATCAAGGAAGGACGAGGTAGTCACAGCTAAACCGCAAGGCACTTCTCCTTGCTATCTGAAGGGGCCAGGCCTGTAACATGCTAGGAGAACAATGACACCAAAATAAGGGGGCTCAGATGGGTGGCTATACAGCCACTTATGACACTCATTCCCAATAATTCATTCCCAGGACTTTTAGGAAAATCAGCCTGCTTGAGAATGCAGCTATGTAATTAATGCACGTTCTAGATCTTGATCATCTGAAGTTTTCTGAATGATCTGACTCAACAAGGTAAGGAAGAAATTTTTGCCCTTGAGGTAAATATCTGTCCATTGCTTTAAATAGTTAAGATGTCTGAGAAGACACTCCTCCAACCAGGATAGTCAGTTGTATCTGTTCCATCTTTGAAAGGCAAAGACATATAGAGGGTAGAGACCTGGCCTTGGAATTGGGAAGATCTGCGTTCAAACCCTGCCTATGATACAATCTAGTTGTGCGACCATGGGCAAGTCATTTAACCTGTCATTTTCCTCAGGCAACTTTGAGATCACAAGCTATCAATGAGTTGCTCATCAGAGGAGGGAGTTTCCATACCAAAGAAATCACAGGTCCAGATCCCTCAAAAAGTTACCAGTACTATAGTTATCTGTATTGAGATGTTTAGTAATTACATGTAAGCCCTAGGAGGTCAGGGATCCATCACACCTAAACTTTGTATCTCCCTCATGTTGTACCTACTAGATACACATAGTCGGTACTTAATAAATGCTTGTCAAGTTGAACAATTGAACTTCCAACGTAAGAGAGAAAGATCTCATAATGTTCCCTAACTTATAATGTACCCATTCCTGACTTTTCCTCACCTGAAACAGTTAGTGTAGTGAACTTATTTGAGGACCCTTGGCCTGAAAGATGCCACCGGTAGACTCCACAATGGGAAAATTGGATGTTCTGAATCACCAACGTGGCTTCTTGATTCTTAAATCTGAGACGCATCCCATGCTGAAGGTGAGACTCTCCTACTGTGGTCATGCTGAAGAGGAGTTCTTCGTCTTTCTTGTCACTACGGAAAAACAAGTCTATACTATCAAAGTCCATGGTGCTTTTGCAGATTATCTCAACCTGGTCATTTCTGCAAGCAGATACTTCTTTCTGGCATTCAAATTTCGCAAACTCTGCAATAAGTGAACAAATTCCAGAATCATGTCATCATCATCACTACCACCCCCACCATCATCATCAACACTTAGTGAGACACTACCGTGGACCAAGTGCTGGGGTCAAGAGGCATGAGGCATTCACTGTCTCTGACTTTGAGGACTTGCTTTCCAATAAGAATACATAAGCTCAGTGTCAAATGGATGATTGGCATAGATATCATGTACTCAAAGTTCAAAGGACAGAGAGATCACTGAGGTCTGGGGTTAGGGCAGCTGGGAAAGGCTTCTCGGAGAAGGCTGACTGTGAATTAGCCTTGAAAGATTCTCAGTAATTGACAAACAGGAACATCTTAGTTAAAAGCTTCTGAATGAAAACTTCTATAAATGATTCTGGTTCTAACCTTAAGACTGTCCTTTCTCTTCTGGACTCCCAAAACACTTGCAGATTTTTTTCCATTTTTTTCTTTTCTAATACCCATCCACTTCCTCTCATCATCAAAAAAGAAAGGAAGGAAAAAGGAAAGGAAAGGAAGGAAAGAAGGAAGGAAGGAAAGAAGGAATAAACAAAAGAAATAGATTAAAGAAAACCACCTCTCCAGATCAAAAGCTAGCTTTAGGCATTCTGGATCCTTAAAAAAAAATTAAGTGCAAGAGGCTTAAACCATTTTTTAAAAATTTATCATTTTCATAGAAAGCATATTGAAAGCATGAAATGTTTTTATGTGTGTGTATTTCTGAGAAAATGCAAAGTCTTTTTACAAAATTATTTATCCATTATTTATCACACTGACAAAAAAAGATGAAAGGGGATAGAGCAGAGACAAGGAATGAAGCGTCTTTCATTTCCTGAACTAAGAACTCCAGCTCCCTCTCTATCTCCTCCTGCTGTGACCCATGTGCTTTTCACTCTTAGCTTCTGTCCTAAAGCAGCTATTTATTATCAGAGTTCTCAACTTGCCTTTGCCTAGCTCCCTTCACAAGGACATGTATAAAATGCTTAATAGAGTCTCTGTGATATAATAAGTACTTAATAAATAATTATTCTTCCCCTTTCTCCTACCTGAAAAAGGGACTCTGAATAATGAAAAAATATGGTGTCTAAATGAATAGAAAGGAATTTTATCAGTTAATTTGAAGACCACTAATGTCCTTCTCTGTGTTCTGTTCTATATTTGAACACAATAGAACTCAAAGGCCCAAAGAGGAAGCCTTCAACAATGGCAGCTAATATGGAGAGCAGTGAAAATAGGGAGCCCTTTGTTGGGCTAATGAGATTAGGTTTGGAGAAGACTTGCCAAACACCATGGAATCACAGAGCTAGAGTTAACAAGAGACCTTAGAGATCATCAAATCCAAAGTCCTCTTTTTACAGAGGAGGAAACTGAGGCCCAGAGAGGTTAAGTAATTTGTGACCTTGGGGGTCACATAATGACCTGATTTGAAGTAGGATTTGAATTCTGGCTCTAAACTTCAATTTTACTACATCATGTTACTGTTATGAGTAAATCGTAAGCATAAATTTACTATTGCTTCTCTTGGGCCACTCATCTTTTGCCATATCTTATAGTCATATAAAAAGCCGTGCTATGGAGTGGAAAGTGTGCTCGATTTGGAGTCAGGAGACTTGGGTTCAAATCTTGCCTTCAACATTTATTGCCATTTAGTTCTAAGCAAGAGGTAGCAAGACATAGTAAACCAAGGGGTGCACTTGAAGCAGGGAAAACCTGGTTTTGAATTTTTTCTCTGACACTACATGTGTGGCCACGGCCAAGTTACTTAATCTTTCCAAGTCTCAGTTTTTTCATCTGTAATATGCAGAGCTTGGACTATATGGCCTCTTCAGTCCCTTCTAGCTCTAAATCTATGATTCCCTAAAACTCAAGAAACCTTTATAAACCTCAGTTTCTTTACCTGTAAAGTGGAAATGATTATACTTGCATTACCTACCTCACGGAGCTGTTGTGGGGAAAGTATCCCATATGCATAAAAAAGCTATTTAAATATGAACTAAATTAAATTTATGATTTAATGTATAACTATTTAAATATGAACTAATATTTGGTATATGTTTTCAAAATTACCCCCATAAAATCATATATATAATTTTTCACACATAAATTTATACAATAATGGGATAACATCAAATGATTACAAGCAATATGAGCCAAAATACCAGCATTTTAAAAAATCACATTAAATACCGAAGCAAATAAGGAGTGAGGGGCTTTGTCATAAACCTCATTCCTTCCTCACCATGGTGTGCCTGTAGATAGTACTCAGGGGCATGGTGAACAGAGTAATCAACTTGAAATTAGGAAGACCTGAGTTCAAATGCAGCTTTAGATATTTGTTGTCTGTATGACTCTGGGCAAGTCAATCTGCTTGCTTCAGTTTCTTCATATGTCAGATAATACCACTTACCTTTCTCTCAGTCCTTGTAAGGATCAAATAAGATAATATTTGTAAAGCACTTTGTAAACCTTAAAGCACTATATAAATACTAGCTATTACCAGTTGCCTTCTTATATGGCAGCTAGGTAGTACAGTGGATAGAGTGCTGGGCCTGGAGTCAAGAAGACCTGAGTTCAAATTCAGATTCAGACATTTACTAGATATGTGACTTTGGGCAAATCAGTTTGCCTTAGTTTCTTCAACTGTACAATGGGAATAATAATAACACCTCCTTTGCAAGGTTATTGTAAGGATCAAATGAATGATATTTGTCAAGGGCTTAGCATAGTGCTTGGCATGGAGTACTTGCTATATTAATACTAGCTATTATCGTCATTATTATTCCTACTTCTTTAAGCAAGTTGTTACTTGCTTGCCTCCAGAGGGATCAGTGGATTGTCCTCCAAACATAAGGGCACAGAGATTCTGCTACGTACTGGCGACACAGTACACCCATCATCAGGCCAAGGGTCCCCACAAAATGGGAACTCCAAGTCTAGACCAGGGCCATATTAAACAAGGTACAGCTACAGAAATATCCATTGCTCATTGTCTTAGGAGACGTTTGAAAAGTAAATCTATCTCTCCTGGCAGGGCTGGCCCTAGGCAAAATTACAAAGGGAGAAACACACTTAGTATCTCCAGTTTCTCCTGTATTCCTCTTTCAGGGCGCTCCCAGGCCTCTTGCTGCCAGATTAAAATTTGCCTTTACAGCCTTCATTCACACTAAGGTATAAATGAGAGATAACTTCAAGCACAAAGGGTATTTAGTTTTTTTTTTAATCTAGCATTTTCTTTCCCCCAATTATATGTAAAAACAATTTTCAACATTCATTTTTAAAATTGAGTTCCAAATTCTCTCCTTCCCTTTCCACCCCCCCTCACTGAGAATGTAAGCAATTTGATATAGGTTACACACGTATAGTCATGCAAAACATATTTCCATGCTAGTCATGTTGTAAAAGAAAACATAGACCAAAATAAAAACCCAAGAAAAATAAAGTAAAAAAAAAAGTATGCTTCTGTCTGCATTCAGATTCCATCAGTTCTTTCTCTGGGGATGGATAGCATTTTTCATCCTAAGTCCTTCAGATCTGTTTTGGATCATTGTATTGCTGAGAATAGCTGTCATTCACAGCTGATCATCTTACAATATTGCTATTACTGTGTACAGTGTTCTCCTGGGTCTACTCATTTCACTTTGTATCATCAGTTTGCATAAGTCTTTCCAGGCTTAGTTCATCATTTTAAAAATCACACTACTATTCCATCACAATCATATGCCACAAATTGTTCAGCTATTCCCCAATTAATAGGCACCTAATCTCTCCTCTTTCCTTTGCAGAGGTAGGGGTCCATGGGTGTGGATCATTATTTATAATGTGAGATTTTTTTTCCCCCATGTTTCTACTTGATAATTTTTTTGTCTTCCTCCTTTTTTTCTTTTAATTCTTTGTTATAGGAGATGGTTCTCTTACGGGGCAGATAGGGAAGATAGAGGAGAAGATTTAGGTAATGGAAAAACTACCCATGTGCCTTGGGCCCATCACTTTCTTTTATCTGGATCTCAGGTTCCTCATTTTCCTCGTCTATATGATGAGCTCTTATGGAGCTCTACCAAAAGGCTTAGACATAGAACAAGAAGTAGTGGGGGCAGCGCTACTGGCTGTTAATTGGTCCCCTTTCTAACATTCTCTAATAATAAGATTTTGCCCCTTGTTGACTATGTTTATTTGACTATTTTGGATATATTTGGATATACTGTTTATAATTTTTAAAATCAAGTTTTTATTTCCAAAGCAACAATGCAGCACAGAAAGAAACTACTTTAAGTGAACATGTCAATTAGCATAAATTTCTATGTAAACTGAAAGTTTAGTCTCTGGCCTTCTTTGCATGCTAACAAAAATGTGTTTGAAGGATTGTCATGTGTAAGAGGGATTAGATTTGTTCCATCTGGTTCCTGGAGGCAGAACCAGGAGGCAATTGGGTAGAGGCATCAATGTAACTAAAAATTAGTAACCAGAATAACTACTCTTAGGCTTAGTATCAGAAAAAACTTCCTATCAATTAGAATTGGACAGAAGTATAATAAACTTGCTTTGCAGGGGTCAGGTTTCACCTCATTGGAGTTGTTCATACAGAGGCTACATGACTCCTGGTCAAGTTCATCATGGTAGGGCTGTGTCACATACCTAGTTCTAAGGCTAGACTGCCATGACTGAAGTTAACAAATTTCACTCAGTGTCTAGTGTGTGCTGGGGATACCAAAAAAAAAAAAAAAGGAACTATTATCTGCCCTTGAGAAGCTTACTTTCTACTGTTCAATGGTAGGTGGATGTGGAAGTGGTCCAGGTCTGTGATTTCATCCACTGGCCTGTTTTAGCTTCGCTAAACATGCTAACTGAATGCCCAGCCCAGCCCCAAACTTTATCAGCAGACCTACAAAGACCTGTGTCACACTTATTGTGTGAGTCTTGACTCCAGGCCCCCAATCCTATGTGAAGACTGGAGAACATCTTTCTTCTCTCTGACCTACAAAAACCTATTCCTTTTTCTCCCTGGACCCCCCGCCTCCCTCATATACCTGCTTGTTTTCTCATATTTAAGTGTTTCCCTTAGTTTCTATTTGATTTCATGTTGAGTTGGCTATCCTACTGCTTAAACTTCTAGAGAGGGAACTGTGTATTTCAGAAGAGGAGGCTCTGCCCAAGGTCCTGAGCTCTCTAAGGTGTCTTAGTAGAACAGAGCACCGGCAAAGAAAAGACCTAGTCATGGAGTAGTCATGAGAGAATGTGTGTCACAGAGAAATATGAATACAGGAGAATAGCACAGAAGAGGAGGCAACAAGACAGAGAAAAACTCATCACAAAATCAGAGAACTATAGAATCAGCTGGAAGTGAATCTTATAAATTATCTTCCTTTTACAGATGGGGAAAGTGAGGCAGAGAGAGGGTGGTGACTTACCCAAGGTCATGCAGTGAAACAAATTCAATCTAATTCATTTCAACAAACTTTCCCCCCCACCCACCCACCATGGCAATTGGGTTAAATGACTTGCCCCAGAATCACACAGCTAGTAAGTGTTATGTGTCTAAGGCTGGATTTGAACTCAGGTCCTCCTGACTCCAGGGCTAGTGCTCTATCCACTGTACCACCTAGCTGCTCCTTCAACAAGCTTTTAAATGTAAGACACTGAACCTGGTTCTTCTAACAGTCTAGGAAGATTCCAACAAAGTATATCCTCCTGGAGGAATAGCAATATGGACTCAGTCCAAAATTGAATATGTTCTATCCCTATTTCTGGATAATCTAGGTAGGATGAAGAAGGCTTCCCTCACATGGTATAATGGACAGAGCACTGAGTCGAGAGTAGAAAGACCAGGGTTTGAATCTCATTTCTTCTTCTTATAATCTATATGACCTTGGACAAATCATTTTACCTTTCTAGGTCTCAGTTTCCTTATCTGTAAAATGAAGTAAACTAGATGATTTCTGAGGATTCTTCTAGCTCTGAATCACACCCTTTTTATTCTCTCCCATTATTCTTTTTCTCAGCTATTACCATGTATGGAAGATGGAGGAGAACAAAGATACCTGAATTTTCCATGGCATTCAAAACAGTCAAGAGCCAGAGGGCCTTAGCTATTCTCAGTAAGAAATAAAAAGCCATCAGGTCAGATCAGCTGCACTGGCAGATGGAGATGTTGGGGTATCAGGCTTCAAGAGTCAGTCTTTTTTGCCATCACTTCTCCAGACACCTCCTGGAGAAAGAAAAAGCCAACGAGACAAAAGATCTTACAAAGGACCTTTGCTTGTCCCCATTATCCAAGTGATCCGTCCTGCATTAGGAGATATACTACCTTTTCACCTTCCAGTGGTCATAGGAATTGGAAAGAACCTTTGAGATGATCTAGTCAAAATTTTATAGGTGAGGAAAGTGAGGCCCAGAATTGGGACCTTTCCTCTGCCTCCTCCCCACTATCCATTGCCCTTGATTACCCACACTCATTTTACAGGTGAGGAAACTGACACCTAGAGTTTTGACTCCTCTTGTATTTCCTTCCTACTATCCATATATACCCATCCTCCTTCCCAGATTCCAATAGAATGAGAAAAGAATGGAATCTTATGAGCATTTAGCAATAGGATGTTATTGTAAAAGACGTTAATTTGAAGATGAGAAATACCGAACCTAAGATAGACAGACACACACACACACACACACAGAAGTAGAGAGAGAGTGACAGAGAGAAACAGAGAGACAGAGAAAACAATGACTTTCAAAATCATTCATTCCAGCTTCCTCATTTTACAGAGCAAATTGAGGCCTAGAGACTGTCAAGTCACATATTGCCCAAAGTCACACAAGACTGCAATTTGAACCCAAGTGTTCTAACTCTGAGCCCGCTGCTCTTTCCAATAAACTTTTGTTGTTATTGAGTCATTTCCAGCTTTTCATGACCCCATTTGGGATTTTCTTGGCAGAGATATTGAAGTGGTTTTCCATTTCCTTCTCTAGCTCATTTCACAGGTGAGGAAATTAAGGCAAACAGGATTAAGTGACTTGCCCAGGGTCACACAGCTAGTGAGCATCTGAGGCCAGATTTGAACTCAGGAAGATGAGTCTTCTGATTCCAGGCCCAGTGCTTTATCCACTGAACCACCTAGCTGTCCCTAAGTAGAAAGATTCTCCTGATGATCATTCAAGGTGAATTTAGTCCAAAGGCTGAATAGATCAGCTCTTTCCTAATGCCAGATCAGCTTCAGGATAGTCACCCTTTTTACAACAGTTTGGCAACTCAGAGCTCGTGACAGACAAATTTATTTTCTTGACTGTGACATAGAATTGCTTGAGGGAAGCACGTACACTTTGGTGGCTCTTAGGTTAAGCTGAACTGCTCCTCCAGAAGGAGCCTTGAAAGAGAAACCTATCCCAACTAATCACCAGTGAGGCAATTCACACCCCCACCCTAAAGCCTGGGAAGGTCTGTATACATTGCTTACTAAGGTGAAGGAAAACACCAGAAACACCCAAACCTCTAGTAAGGTTCCACCCATGGTTTAAGATTTATGACTCATGGGCCCATAAGAGGACCAAGGTGGGAAGGCTAGCAGGAGAACCCTTGAGGGCTCAAGGCAAAGTAGCTTAATTTAACTTTGCTCCATGAAAATAAAACCTAAAGAAGGACAAGTAGAAAAGGCAAAAAACAATTTTTTAAAAAAGGTATATTAAGAATACACAAGTAGGGCAGCTAGGTGGCATAGTGGAGAGTGTTGGGAAGACTCATCTCCCAGGTTCAAATCTGGCCCCAGATACTTCCTAGCTGTGTGACCCTGGACAAGTCACTTAACCCTTTTTGCCTCAGTTTCCTCATCTGTATATCTGTACATATATATATATATATAATATAGACCAATCTTGTTCATGAATATTGACACAAAAATCTAACATAAAATTTTAGTGGACACAACAGCAATGTATGTGTATATATACATGCATGTGTATACATTATATATATATATATATATATATATATATATATAAGTTATTCACTAAAAACATATCTGATTTGTACTGGGGATAGAAGGATGATTAAAAAATAGCAGACATAATAATATAAACAACAAAACAGAACTATCAATATATATATAGAAAAAACCTTTGACAAAACAGAATACTTGATTGTGTTACTAATTCAAAAACTCAAACATGTTGAAGGACCCTTCTTTAATATCATAAAAAAATTCTAATACCAAAAGCTAGTATTATCATCATTAGGAAAACACTGGAAGCTTTTCCAGTAAGTGTAGGAGTAAAGCAATGGGATCCCCTTTCTTAACTATTTGACATAGTTCTAGAAATGTTAGCTTAAACAAGTCAATATAGGAAATTAAAGCATAAATATCTATAAAAAGGATATAAAATTTTCTCTATTTGCAGATGACTTACTGATTTACTTTGAAAACCACAGCAAGTCAGTGAAGAAACTAGATTTAGGTAAAGAAATAAATCTAAATGAAAATTTAGATAATAATGGATTCAATGAAGTAACAGGATACATAATAAATCCATAGAAACTAGCAGCATTTTTATACAATACCTTAAAAAAACAGAAGAAAATGACAAAAACTCAGTAAAAAACTGTAAAATGCACAGAATGAAATGAAAAAATTTAAATAATTATAGAGATCAATGATATTCATGGTTAGGCCATAAAAACAAAACAAAAAATGGCTACACTACCTTAACTGATTTATAGATTCAGTTCTTTACCAATAAAATTGCCAAGACATTCTTTTCTAGAACTAGACAAAAATAATAATAAAATTCATCTGGAGGAATGAAAACTCTAGTATGTCAAAGGAAATTTTTAAAAAGTAGCAAAAAGGTCATAGCATTAGCAGGTTCCAAACTATTTTATAAAGCAGTAGTACTAAAAACTATTTGTTACCTATTATAAAATAGTTTTTTAAAAAATGACTAGATAAGACAGAGCCAGAAGTAAGCAAATACAGCAGTCCAATATTCAATAAATTCAAGAAAACAAATTTCTGGGAGAAAAGATTCTCCATTGACAAGAACTTCTGGGGACAACGAGGATAATTCGAGAGTAATTAAATTCTGACAAACATTTTAAATGGTAAATCGTAATCATCTCCAACTGGATATATGACCTAAATATAAAAGGTCACCTTAAAAAAAAGCTAGAGAATTGGGAAAATCCTTATCCAAATAAGAGAGAGAAAAAATCCTAAATAACAAAATACAGTTTCAATTACAAAATATCACAAAGTTTTGTATGAATAAAATCAATACACCTCATATAAGAAGAAAAACTGCCAGGTAGAAAAAAATTATTTGCATTAAGTTTCTGTGATAAAAGTCTGATATCCAAGATATTAAAGGAATTATCATAAACACATAATAATGAGTCACTCCCCAAGAGATAAGTGGCCAAAGGTTTTGATCAGTTTTCAGAAGAAAAGGAAAAATTCATTAATCTCAAATCACTAACAATAGGAGAAATTCAAATAAAAACTATGAAATGCATAAGATAGAAATATTTATAGAAATAAAAGATTTAAATAATGGTAGGGATCAATGGTGTTCATTGTTAGGTCATACTAAAACAATAAAATGATTGTACCACCTAAATTTATTTATAGATTCAATTCTATACCAATAAAATTCTTAAATCAACCAAATTTGTAAAATGATTAAAAAAAAAAGAAACCCATGAGGCAAGTAGGTGGTGAAGTGGAGAAAGCACTGAATTTAGAATCAGGAAGACTCATCTTCATGAGTTCCAATCCAGCCTCTGACACTTACTAACTGTGTGACCCTGGGCAAATTGTTTAACCCTGTTTACCTCAGTTTACTCATTTGTAAAATGAGCTAGAGAAGGAAATGACAAACCACTCCAGTATCTTTGCCAAGAAACCCCCTTAAAAAGGCATCACAAAGAGTTGGTCATGCATGAAACAATATAATACTTAAGTACTTAATGTGTATGGAACATACATTTAATCAGGATAGACTTCTTGGAGGAGGTGAGGCTTTTTTGTTTTAAGGGAGGAAAAGGCATAGATTTGCTCATATATCATAAGAGCAAGAACTGGAGAAGACTTTGGAGATCATCTGGTCCAGTTCTTCCTTTGTTTATGTCATGGGCTCCCTTTGGAAGTCTGAGAAAGCCTGTGGACCCCTTCTCAGAAGAACGTCTGTTGTCTACAATTCATAACAGAATACTGAATTTCAGTCAGAGATTAGTGAAAATAAAGATGTAATTTTTTCACATCCATGTTCATGTACCCCTTGAAATCTATCAATGGATTCCCTTGAGGGTCCCTCAGCCTCATGTTCAGGACCCTCGATCTAGGACAACTCTTTAATTTTGTCAATAAGGAAACAAATTCAGAGAGTTTAAGTGACTTGTTCAAGACTTGTTTTGAAGAGTATTTTATCCCAGTTTATTCACTTAACATCCACTCAAGAAACCTAGCATGTACTATATGGAGAGCATTTTCTGAGTGTTGAGCAAGCTGCCAACTTGAGGTAAAACACAGTTCTTCCCCTCAAGGAGATACTGATTTTGTCGTTAAAACCCTTTGTTACTTCAGTATGGCTGACTGAGTCAAATTGGGAAAGCAGGAATTCTGACCAGCTACTGGTGCTACCTACCCACAGGTTAATCCTTGTTACCTTGTCCAGATATTGCTAATCAGGTCCATTCCCCACCCCCAATAGCTTTGCAAAATGTTGGAAACTACCAACCAGTTAGATGTAATTGCTCTGGGCAGGACAGAAACTGTGGTGCCTCTTGTGCTCTGGATTGCTCTGGTCGTGAGTAAGCATGGCTTTATGTTCATGAAATCCACTGACCTGCCCTGTGCTCACAAAACTGATAGTGATTGTATCACTCAAGGGAAACTGAACTCTTAAATTACTCATGCAAATCAAAATAGAATAGGACTCTGAAAGGGGTGGATTGGGTTGTTTCTGTGTTGATGTGTGTGAAAGTGTTTGCAGGTAGGCAGAAAGGAAAATGAAACATGGACAATCTGCCAGGCTTTGGAAGATCTATGATGTCATTCTCTTAAGAAATTTGGCTTGCTAAGTTATTCTGTATGATATCCTTACACTGGCTGCCAGTCCCAAGTGGGTAGAGAGTATCAGACACAGATAAGAATCCCTCTGGGAGTGGGGAGGAGGAGGAGGAGAAAGTGGGGGGAGGAAGTGGAGGAGGAGGAGGAGGAGGAG